CTTGGATGTGGATTCGGAGGTGAGTGAAGATTTTGTTGATATGAAGGTGAATGTGGATGTAGGTATGAAGGCGTGAGTGATTGTGGTGGCTGATTATGAGGAATTGTGATCGGTGTTATTTTTGGTCTTTTTGATAATGGCTCTAAAGAGTCTACCCCGCTGCCACCACTTAGATTAAGATTGTTAGAAATCGTTACACCTGGTATTGATCCCTGATGATATATTGTGAAATTTGGATCAGTAGCTGAATTACTTGATAGACTACTGTTCGTGGGTGATGCAAGAGTAATCATACTTGTTGGTTGTAAAGTTGATGTCGTTACCGCTATAGGAGTGGCATATGTAATAAATGATGTAAGATTAGGAACGATATTTGGCGGTTGTTGATGTGTTATGGGTGGTTGTTGCTGTTGTTGAGAAGGTTGATTCATAGCTTCTAACTGGGGATTTATAATTTCAAAGGTATAATTTTGAAAATGGGTCATTTGTTGTTGTGACGGCTGTTTACGTTTATTATTATTCGTCAGGTGATCAAGAGGAATTTCCGTATTGCCCCAAGGTTCATGCTGAGTAGCTAGGTCGTTTTGCGACAGCTCAGTTGAGGCGTTTAAATGTGTGACGTATGTGGTATATTGGTTATACGTAGCGTTGTTTGCCATTCTGTTACAATATTTTTAACGTTCGTCAGCTAGAGGTCTCAACACTTCTTTCAACTGCACGAATTTAGTGATTCTCTGGCACTTGAACGATTGCCAATAAAGGGTTGGTTGAAATTGGATTTCTTCTCGCCGAATATTTATTGGCACGTGAATTATATGTTTGACCATTGATGGATGCATCTACTAATTAATTGCAGTCTAAAATGTTGGAAATGGCACAAAAATCTTAGGCACAAAAATCTCAGCCACAATAATCTAATTTTGGTCTGAAATTTTATTTAGATCCGAATAATTTTCCGATTAGAGCTGTTTTTATTTTATTGTAGATAGCGATTTTGCATATAATGCGTGTACAGTTGTATCAACCTTTTTAATATCAATACATTTACTGCAGAATAAAAATTTCGTTTGAACTTATATATTTGATCAACCTGGCAAAAATATTAATTTTAATCTTAATTCTAATCTGAAAACTAACTAAATTAACATACTTTACAACAATCCCAACTTTACTCTTGCTGAGGAACTAACCGAAAGAGAATACGGGATTAAGGAAGGGGACAGAAAAAGATATCCCGGTCACTTAAAATCTTTGGCATTAATGTAGGATGTTCACAAAACCATGTGATATTTGCTCCATGACGTTTGATTTTCTTATCAATGTGTCATACGTCTCGTTTTTTTGATCACCAATAATATCTTGCGTCATTGCTGAATTTTTTGAGTTATTATATGCCATGCTAAATTAAATTTTGTACAGTGCCCTAGCATAATATTGTTAGACACTTCTAAATTCTAAATCTCAAGCTAAATAAGCAAAATATTAAAAACAAAAATTTAAATTTAAATTCTTGAAAAGTATAGCTTCAAACAAAAAACGAAAAAGAAATTCCATACAGTAGTTGAGAAAACTTAAAAATCATTTATAAAGTATTAAAACGAAAGAAAAATATGTGATATCTCGATAGTTATCGCACAAAATTACTACCATTTGATTCGCCATAATGAGACGAAGGTATTTTTGTGCGATTCCGATCACTGGGTATCGAGATATCACAACTAGAAACCGTGCTACGCTACACCAAAATTTCGATTTGAATTGGCGATCGATTTTGTGTACCACGACTATTACGAGCGAGAATACCCCACCATTCGATTCATTAGTTATTCTCATGCGATTACGATTATCACGTGATGAGATATCGTACGTAAAAGTCGCGGCATGCCAGCGCACAAAAATATCACCATCCGATTCGTCTAGTCATGACGAATCCATGTTAATTTTGTGTAATTTCATCAAGATATTGCATATTTATTTTATATCATAATAATTTCCTTATGATTTTCGTATTAATGAAAAAATTATAAATTTATACTTTTTAAGAATTCAAAATTTTTATTTTTTGTATAAAAATAATAATATAATTTTGCATAAGGGCAATAACATTTATTACATAATATTTTAGAGAATGGAGGTCATGAAAAACCTTATGTTAATATTTATCACGTGATATCATTAGAATTTCATAAATATAAATTTTTATATCGATTATTTCATATTATTTTTATTTAACATATTTTATAATATTAAAATAAATAAAATTGATAAAATACTGATACATAATTCTATAAAAGAAAAATGATAAATTTTTATATTAAATAATTATTTTATATTATTTTTATTTAATATATTTTATAATATTAAAATAAATAAAATTAATATGGGCCAGTACAAAAAGATTGGTACATCAATATAGAATTAAATAATTACTTCTAATAAAAATCATTCAAATTTTAACCAATCTTTATAATTTTTTTATATTAAATAAAGAAT